TTTTCAGTCTGAGAAGAATCACTGAAACTGGTTCCGTAAAGAGGAGATTACCAGCTGCGTAGCTGGAGGTGGCCAGGCATACCTAATGTTTCATTTTAATGCACAGCCTTTACAGACACTGAGTCGCAGAGGTGACGCATGTTCCAGCATCTGACAGTTGCACTTTATAACGTAGTTCTCCGGAGGCAGTAAAACCATATTTGTTCTGTATGATTTTTCTCTACAAAATGCTGTAGGGAAGCAGGACCCTCCCCCAAAATAAAGATCTGTTACTAAAAACGTATGTCTCTGTGTTACTGACAGAAACACAGGTGACTGCGGGCAGTATAGACTTGCGCATGTATGGGAAGGGGGGTGTCCGTGCGCATTCCTCCTAGGCTGGGGTAGCGGGAGGCTAGCGGGGACGGCAGCAGCTTGGTCTTGCTCCAGTGGGTTGTCCAGGGAGTGATTCCTGTTTCCCCTAAGGCTGCCTCTCATTAGCATGAATCAAGGGGAGGGCATAAAAGACTCCAGTTCATTTTGAGTCTGGAAAAACTTTACTTCAAAATGACAACCAAAGTGTTCTGGCTCCTCTGCTTTGTCATTAGATCATCTTCCAGCTCAGTGGCCGGTAAGTCTGTTAACATTCAAAGCGGGGCTGGGGCATATTTGCCTTTGGTATCAGGGGAGGCTAAACGTATTACTACAAATTCTTGCCCGAGCAGCCCTCTTCAGCTGTAGTCTTTTCAGCAAGCAGTAGCAGTGATCACATAAGGGCTCAGGAAAGAAACATTTCAACGTGCTTGTGGGATGAGAATGTAAATTGCAATATTGGATTTGTCAGCATTTGAAAGAATTAAGAGAACCTGCCAAAAGCAGGCAGCTAGCTGGTGCCATGAATCCTGCTAGCCATCATTCAGCAATTGAAGTTTGACTTGCTTCTGCATCTGGGATTTTTTTCTTTGTATGTGACCTTTCCCTTTCAGTCTCCTTCCCCTCACCTGTAAACTCCAGATTTCTAATCTATTTCAACGTGCTCTGTGCTGTCATGTGTGCCTGCAGCAAGCTGTCCTAAGCAGATACTTTTTTTTTTTTAGTACCTCATTGACAAAACAGAAATAAAATATACATCTATTCCATTGGGAAGGAGCTGATTATGTTGCAGTTGTGTTTCTTAGGTTGTAAGAGCTAGAGAGGAATATGCTGGTATAGGAGAACAAACCTCAAGATTCTTAACAGATTGCGTAGAGAAAAATGAACTATTTCTCTTTACAATCCATGACTGAGAAGGCATGATAAACTGGTAGAAAAGCATACTTACAACACCAAGTCCAAAACACCTGTTCAGAGTTCGCAGCTTCATATTGAACCATCTCCAAAACACCCTTGCCTATTGCTTTCTTTAGCTTGGACTTCTTCCACCCCGTTCTTCATGGACATTCTTTTGACTTTACGTGTGGCCAGCCCAAATATCAGGGAATCTTTCCCATGACAGCAGCTGGTGAGAGCAAAGGGGGAGAAGTGGCAAGGTCAGCAGTTGAGTCAGTTATAGAAGATAAACCAGGACGTTGTTCATCTGTGTATGTCAAATATCTCTTTTCACATAAGGAGTTAGGATCAGCCTCCTACACGATGCTAACCACAGACAGTGAACACCCAGGCAGCGGCTGTGTGTGGGTGAACTGTTTTAAAACTGTGCTGGCTAACTAAAGGCATGCAGTGAAGGACTAAAGTAAAAGGAAAACGAACTGCAAGAGGAAATTTCTGTCTTCCCAGGCTAAACAGAAGGTCATTTTACTTCGTGAGGTCTGAGTGATCAAGGTGAAGGTATAAACGAAGGCCTAGGTGACTGTCCAGCCTGTGTGAACAGTGTCATTAAGACTTCCCATTTTTCACTAGATTCCCAAGACGCTTCCTCCCTTTCTCAACCCTTGTCCTCTCAACTTAAGAAAAGCCTTGAAATAATTGTTACTCAGCAGCAATAGCCTAGCTACCAGACTACTATACAACTCTGTAGTGCAAAAGTCAGAGATCCAAAACTGTAGATAAAGATCTTTTCAGTAGCATTCAAAGCCCAAAGCTGCTGAAGAGTCCAGATGACATTGTCAATAAGGCATCCCATGGATGGGAAAACCAAATAGTTCTGTTGTCATGGTCTTTTAAACAAGCATCCCAAATGGCAATGTGAACCTTGTCTCCTCAGATGCTCCCTGGAGATTCAGGCTTTTGAGAAAAGGGTTTGTTTATAAGTCATGTTTTTAATTTGCAACAATAATAAAGTAAAAATGCAAATCTCCTGTGTTTTGCTCACACAGCTGCATTCTCTGTACTGGGCCTTCCGCGTCTGAGTACAGAAGAATGAGAAGCTCTACTATATTTCATCTGTTGAACTATTTCTAGTTATATTGTCTTATTGTTGAAGGCCTCACTTATGGACTAGAACCTCAAATCTGCCAGACGCTTCCCATTCAGAAGCACATGGAATAAAAAAAAAATTAAAATGCTAATTCGCTCTCTCCTTTTTTTGTATGTAGGATCCCTGCCCAATGCCGAGAAACCCAGTCAGACTCTTAGCAAAGATGTTTATAGTTCAGCAGACGCTGCCCCCGGCCAAGTCAAACCGCCAGCCTGGGGCACCGGCAGCACCAGAGAGAATCGCACCGAGGGCTGGCCTCTGCCTCCCGCCGACCTGCAGCGGCCACAGCCTCCTGAAATCATCTCCCTCTCCTCAGACAAAAAGAAACGCACCAAGCCTTCTCTAGAAAACAGCACAGGGCTGAGGAAACACCTCTGGCAGTACGAAGGGGCGCTGCCTCTGGAGAGCCCGACTGAGGGGCCTTCTCCTGCCTCCTTTGACTTCAACCATGCCAACAGAAAGCAGGCGGACAGACGGCTGGCTGACGCTGCCAACAGCGTGTCGGCTCACTTCCATCACGCAGCATCTTCCTGTCAAAAGATGACATCCTCACTGGAGGCCCATCCTTTTCCAGAGTCTGGGGCAGTGGAGTCAGATGATCCTAACACGCTGGATCACTTTAACCGACCAAGCAAGATAATCCCTTATAAACATACCGATCCCTTCAAAAAGATCACCAAACCCTCCTGGGTCACCAACCGCCAGTCTTCCAGCTTGCCGTACCACCTCAGTGTGCTGAAGAAAGGTAAGGGGATAGACCGCTCTGGCAAGGGATATCGTGAACTTTCCAAAGGTTGGGTGGCATAATTTGGATGAAATATCCCCAGAAGGCCCGTTGCTGTCCCTCAGTCTATGTGCCTGTTCTAGATGGTGATAAGGCATGTCTGACCGAGTGCAGGAAAGAGAGAGATGAAGTGGAGGCCTACTGCGCAAGCGAATTCGGTAAGTGGTGTCCTCCATGAGCCACACAGACAAAGCACAGGCCGCCTTTGTTCATCTATTACTGACATTTCACTTCTGCTTTTAAGATAGTGTTTCACTGAGTATGTTAAATAATTACAAAGTACACTAAAAGGACCCATCACAGCTCATTATAAATGTACTACAACAGACGGTACCAAGTCTTACGTTACCCTGTCCCTACCTTGGGCTAATATAGCTCTTTTTTTTGTTTCCCGTTTCCTCTACATTCCACTCCTGGGAGGAAGACGGTGTTCTTGCTGCCGGTCAACAAAACTGAAAAGACCAGTTGTTTTAGATACTCTAAGATTAAACATTGTAGCTCTGTTACTTACCTCTTAATATTGAGAGTGAGTTTGTGATTTTGGGGGGCTGAAGTTTCAAATGAAAATAAAATGGTGAACCAAACAAAAATAAAACGTGCTCCTCTCTGTATAGAGGACTATCCTTGAAGTTCCTTAGGATTCAATGTCTTTAGTCCTTGTGTCCAAGTTGATTTAGCTAAAGATGGTAGAAAATAACCTGGCATTTTTGTACCGACTGTTTAAGAACAAGCATTTTCTGACTGAAATCTTGCCTTGTGCTTATGAAGTTGTGAAACAGATACCAACTTTTTCTCACAGTATTTTAAGAGATAAGCAAAATACATGCCTAGTGGTAACAGATGTTTCCATTTGTACATATAAACATGTTATGAGACATCTGTTTTCTTTAAATGGAGAAGTCAGGAAGTGCTTTCTACAAATGCTATATTCTTTAGTTTTTACCACTCTCATGCATTCCTGTCAAACGTAGGCCCAATCTCTGTGTAGTTCAGCCTTTAACAAATAGCCCTCTCATTCATCTCTTAAACCGAAAAAGACAGGTAGGAAAAAGAGCAACAGAGATCAGCCATGGTCCCATTGCAGTGATCAGAGAGCTTTTAGTTTCTTTACATTTACCGTGCCTATTAAAGAATAAATGACGGAATCAAAGTTCTCACTCAGTGAGGCAGGCGTAGTGCCAGTTACAAAGGCCCCGTTTGCCTCACCTGCCTAAAACACCTCGGCTGTTTTCTGATTCCTGTAGTCAGCTCAGCACTTGTCAAAACCAGAAATTGGGTGGACAGCCTGAAGTGATTGCCTGGGCGTACAACGCTGCCTACTGGGTACCCTTGCCTCTTGGCGTGACGAGGGCCTTTTCTTTGAAAAGCTGAAGCGTTTCATTAGCAGGTTAGCTTTGTACTTCATGGTGAAGTTTTAAATTCGAAAATTTTACTTTGTTAGGTAAATATATCCACTTTTTATGTATCAGGATGGAAAACAGTACTAAAAACATCAATTTACTTTGAAACATTTTATAAGCTTCACTAAGAAACATCTCAGACCTGTAAAGTACAAGAAGATTAGTAGCTCTGCAAAAACTAAGGTGATGACCTCATCAAATGTGATTATTTGAAGTAACTCCTACTTTCAAGACTGTCCACTACTGAGCCAAAGAATTTCTGCTGACGCTTCACAGCATTTTAAATGAGAGCCTTCTCACATAGTCTGAGTTGCCACCAAGATACGTATCTGATGCTTGCTTTTTTTTCTTTTCCCCCTCCTTTAAAACAGCAGTGAACGGAATTGTTTATAACATGGAAAGACTGGGGAGCGGAGTCCAGTTGATTACGCTTTTGGTAAACAGCGATGGATTATACAAGATGAGTCGCCTGTATATTACTCCTGATGCCTTCTTCTTTCGAGTTCACATTCTAGTTGTGGATACTTTAAACTGCAGTAAACCATGTCCAGACTTTAAACTTGGTAAATAATTCCAGCTAAATCCATTCCATTATTCCTCCTACATGCAGGGCAATTTTAGTCTGCCCTAGTTTAATAGGCTTATCCTGGGTTGTTGTGAAAATTCAGAAAAAAAAAAAGTATTTACTCTTAAACCGGAGGGCTTTTTCCCCTTCCAGTTTCTCTAAACTTTCAGAAGAAAACCAACTGTGTGAAGTCAGGTAGCAGCATTGTCCTTTCTTAACTTTATCCAGTTCCAAAATGATTGCAAGTTTCCAGGATCGCCAAAAAAATTTAAGCAGGAGCTTAAGCTGATGTCTTTGTAAGTAGTCCAGTTTTCCTTCTAAACGCAAGTTCATCAAATACCAGTATTTCCCCCAAAAAGCTTCTAACTGCAATACAAGACCATAAATCATTATTTCCATGCAAGCACAGCCCACAAGTCCCACTGAAGTTCTGGGTGCCGCTGTGCTAAGCCGCGTGTTCAGGGTGTGTTTCTGCAGGGTACAACTTCACACCTATTCATAAATCTGTTTCCCTTAGAGCGAGTGTAGTGAATGTATCCGTGCTTTCTCCTTTATTTTGCAGGCAGTAGATACATTGTGATGGGTCGGATCTACCACAAGAGACGACAGATTCCTGCAAACCTGCTGCAGTTCCTGCAAGGGCGCCTGCGGCCAGGGGATGGCTTGCTTCGGAGCGGCAGCAGCTACGTGAAGAGATTCAACAGGAAGAGGAATCGCAAAGTACAGGCGGCTCACACCAAGTGTAGATAAAGCTTCAGTGACCTCTGCCTAGGACACAGGCAACAGCAGAATTCACCTTCCAGAATAAACCTGGCCATGGTTTAGCAACAGTGGGAGGTAGTTCTCCTCACGTCTGAAACCGGCTGTGACAGGACATTTGCTTCTGTGCTTGAGCAAACTCTAACTGAACATCTTGACCAGGTACCTATATATTGTGGAGTTTACCACAAAAGTCAGTCTAGGGAACATTAACTGGTCATGAATTTGCTCCAGCTGTTTTCAGAGCCACAGGTTATTATTGCCTCCCCTGCTGTCATGTACCCCTAATAATCTGTACCAATTGTAAAGTAAAATTCTGGAGGCATTGTTCTAGGTACACAAGAAGTAACTGCACTCTCAGATCCTTAACCTTGAACAAGTGTTAGATGATACCATAGCTTTATCTCTAGAGGATGCCCCTTGTATTTTCACACAATTCTGCCTGAAGTATTACAGGCCTTTGATTCAAAAACCCCAACAAAGCTCAGTATCGTTTGTATTGTTTTGGTATCCTCAAATGTGTCCATACTACTTTAAAAATTACATCATTCGTCAAACAGAGCTGGATTTTCACATGAAGCATACAAAATAGCTACGTAATAATTTGAGCATATGAATACACTAACTGAAAGCAAATCAAGTAACCGCACTGCACAAATGCCCAATTAGGCTCACAAATAACGGCGCAAGTTCATGCCAAGGAATGCAAAATAAGCAGGCAATTGCATGCACATTTTTTGTGCCTGGTTACACTGTCAGTTCCTTAAAAGTTCAGTCCTAGAACGGTGTACTGAATGTCATTTTCCCATGAGAAATATTACCAAGTTTGTACTTGCACATCAGTAAAGTTACTTTTTGAATCAAAGATACAATCTTTTAGTACCTTTAATGTGATGGGATGCGAGAACCTATGAAACCACTGCAAAGGGGTTCTTAAATGTTTGCAATTTCAAGAGTCAGTATTCACAAGTCACAACTCTTTAAAAGAAACTAATAAAAGTGTTCATGGGGTTCTGGGTTCACTGTCTCCTGGGTACTGGAAGATCCAAAAAGCTTATGTAATGATCTTAAACAAAACAAAGGCATCTCCTTGTTTGACAAGTCAGCAGGGGATTTTAAGCTATATATTTATATTTTAAAAAATGGGAAAATACAGTCTAGCTTAAAAAAAATACATATACATACAGTGACCTGGAACAGGAAGCAGTGGCTTCTGTAAGTGTTTTTTGTTTTGAAGCAAAGGTAGTTCTAACACAATTCTACCTGTCGTACATGTCTGCAGCTTGATTAAGTGTCACTGAAAAGCTACGGAGTAGTGGATGGGCACTACGTCACACTGTATGAAGCATTTCTTGATATGGAATAGGAGCCAAATACCAAGAGGAGCCAATACCAAATACCATCGTTATCTTGTGGGACCCAAAAGGCTGTTACTATAGGACAGAAATGTACTTGTAGCTTGTGTCTATCTAAAAAATATACTATCTCACTTTTGTTACATGAAAGATTTTGCATGGAGCGCAGCACATTCAGATGGAATTTTCCTGAGAGACTTTGAGGGGGCTTTTGATTTGGCAGAACGACTGTTCCTGGCAAAGAATCAAAGCACTGGAGTGGACTGGGAGGGACAGGAGAAGGAAGGAGGAAGGGTTACATGTGCATCTCAAGTTTCTTAGTTTCTATTTTCAACTGAAGTCCAGGGACTAACCAGCAAGTCCTACAGTCATACATCTGCCTAGAGCAGCAATTAAGCACCCTTCCCTGCCCCCAAGACATTATCGTAATCTAAAACAGGCAAAGCGTGGGTACAAAACCAACATCCACAGCTATATCTCATTTTGATTGTCTCTTGGAAGAGATAAATAATAGTCTCCCAGTGGTAACGACATCCAAAGCCTGAGTAAAATGGCAATAACTGACACACAACGTCTGCACCACTCTCAGACACAGCTATTGCTCCAGAAGCAAGGCTGAAGAGCAATTTATCCTGTGTTCTCTTTTTGCGTTACAAAGTCCTCTTCCTTTCCTTTCTAGCTTGGAGTCACTCCTTACAACGTTATCACAACAGCTGAGCAACAAGCCACTGTATTTCACAGCTCAACTGAAATACAGCTGCAGCAGGAGCAGAATGGCTGTTCTTCCCAGGCTTATCACATGCTAGCTAACATACTGAATAAAGAAAAAAAAGAATTCCTATATCAAGTGAATTTCCAGAGTCTAGCAACTGTTACAAAAAGCTCACAGCATCAACCACACTGAAAAGAAGATGGCACTTACATGCAATAGCTGCCACGGTAATTTTGCTACCTTACAGTAAGGAGGATGACTGAACAGAGATCACAAATCTTATGAACTTACCATGCTCTTAAGGAAGGTGGGTATCAGTTATGAGTGATGTATTTTCAGTAACACCATTCAACTACAAAAGATCACCACTAATAAATTGAGAAAAGTACCTCAGCCCACTCAATGGCAATTGAAACTGCTAAAAAAGGGTCTCAGCTTGATTACATTGTATGCATGGATTACTTCCCTAATCAAACTGATTCACTGGCAGTTTTATACGATCTGGCAACGCCAAGACCTATATACGATAACATTACCAAATGTTTCATTAGAAACACCACCAAATCATTGTCAAACACATTACTTTATTTGTCTAGGATGATGTGTCCTATAAAGTACAAAAAAGTACTCTTCAGTTTGCCACAATTTGTTAAAAACATAGCAATCTATTGCCTACAGGTAGGAAAGTTTTAAATCATGTCATATGTATTTATATATGAATAAATAGTACAGAAATATTGTGAAGTTTCGATGATATGCAGGATATGTTCAAATGCTGTTAAAAGTTGAGATTTTTCCTTGTTGCATTAAAAACCACAATGCATACAATATGCAGCATTTCTTTAAAACGTCAAAGGACAACATAACCTAAATGCAACTACTCTTCTTAAAGTTAAAGAAGCATAAATGGATTATTGTTTTCACATTGAACAATTATTTTTAATTTTCACATATAGGTTAAATGACAACATTTGTATGTACAAAAAAACATGGGTTTTTATTAGATAAAATTACCCCAGAACCACCTGTACACCTGAGCCTGTAAGTGTAAGAAAGTGTGGTCAGTAGCAACATCTTTTTAAGAAAAATAACAGAAGAGGTTCTTGCATAGCAAGGTGTGAGGTTAAACCCAAAAGGAGCTTATCCATAAATCAGGTAAATCCCAGATCACTGTAGAACAGAAGTTAACTGTGAATTAGTGCAAAAGCTAGTCAAACGGTTGAAGAGCCGCGTACAAACCACGGCTGATTAACTACAGACGGGTAATACGAGCAAGTCATTTATATACGCAACGTGGAAGCGATAGATTGGAAAGAAAAAGCAACGTCATCTGCAATTTGCATCTTTGTGTGACTTCAATTTATCCCTCACAGTAGCACTCCTCACGCAGGAAACGCTGCAGCAGCCCCGAATGCCTTTCAAAGCATCAATTACAGTTGGTACTTGACGTTCCTAGAGTGCTTGGCAAAACATCACTTATTTCAGCGGTGGGCAGTGACATTTCACAAAATACTTCCTACCATGTTATCTGTTACAGTAATTTTGGCACCACTGTAGAAGTTTTATAAAGAGATAACAGCTGCTTAAGAAAAAACAGTAGTAAGCGCTACCTTTGGAGCAAAATAAAGTCAGAACTCCCTGGCCACTTCCCTCCTCTATTACTTGAAATAGCTATACTTCTGAACAGATCCCCAAAGTGTTACAAACATATTAGCGCACACTCAAAGACACCTACATCTGTGGGGAGAACAAGTATCTCCATTTATTTTGTTTCATATACATCCATATTTTGAATTTTAATACAAAAGAAAAAAAATTAGAATCTGACAAATGTTTACAAACAAGATACCTTCAAATAGATTTTACTCATTTCAGTCTGGTGCAGAGTAAATGACAAATTGTACTGTTATATTCAAGGCAACAGAGTCTGTAGTCCATGACCACTTAGCCCAACTTTTATGCAAGCTTAATTGTTTTTATCTACCATGAATGATAAACTCGTTGTTGATTCCCAGTTCTGTGTGTGTGCACATGTGTACATAGCAGCTCCTTTCATAGAAAGAAAAGACATCTAGAGGTCTTCTTGTACTTTTACCTACAGGAATCATGTTAAGATACAGAATGGATTACATGTAACCGGGGCTGGATTTTATAAGAAAAAATAATTAGCTGACAAATGAGGGCAGCAATAAAAAAGCGTCTTTTTTGCAACAATAAATAAATACAGTCAAAGTTTTCTGTGTGGACTTTAAACCAGCTTCTTCACTGAAGAACAGACGTGGCATTTCCATGGAGTTAAACATGACCCCATTTACTGTATCTTTTTTTCTTGCTCTCTTTCTCCTTCAACAAAACAAAGTTTTCCTGCTTCTGCCACAATAGTACAACAATTTGATCTTGACAAGGAAGTGGTGCTGCTGATTTTTTATTTCTTTGTCCTTTGGACAAAATAAGCCAAGAATATAATTTGACTGTTGTGACCAATAAAAACGCAGTTTACATCAAGTCTTGTCAGGATAACCTGACTAAAAACATCTGGCTTCTTAATTAAAAAATTTCAGACAACCAGATTCTTGCTCGTGTGTTAGGTTAACACGCTGAACTCTAAGAAGCTGTAGACTGCAGTTTGTTGTTATGGGACCTGCAGAGTACAGAAGAAAGTGAAGAATTAAGCACTCTTCATTTTGGAGAATACAGTCACTGCAAGGTGTTGCCAAGGGTAAATCACAATGAGGGAATTACCACCATGTTGCTTCCATTTTTTTTTTTTCCCCGCTTCAGAAAAAAGAAAACTTAAAATAATTCTCTCTGAATTTTAAGCACATTTTCTCCTATAGCATACAAGTATTTCAGTACTCGTAAAACGCAGTGTGTCACTGGAATATTAAAAAAATGCCTGAAATCAGTTTTATTCTTACATGTACATAATAGTAGTCCATCAAAAGGAAAGCAAAAAGACATTTTTAATTGTGAATATTTATAATAAGGTATACTTTGCTTAAATTTATTCAAGAAGTCTTTGGATTAACTTAATAGAAAAAACTGAACAGGCATGTTAAAATCACATTTTTGCTAATCAGAGTTCAGCAAAACTCCTCTTTGACATTCACAGTTTTATTAGTGACTGAAAATAAAACAATAAAATACATGGTTTCCAAGATGAATGTTTCATTTTTCTCAATACAGTATTTGAGGAATGGGACAATTTTTTTTGTTAATACAGTTATGTTTACCAGTATGACTGCTGGTAACAGAAACTAAAAACCCAACAACATTTACTTTTTAGACAAATGATCTGGATTATTAGGGCAGTTTAATGTCATCAAATTGTACAATAAAAGAACGTGACCCCAACATCCAGTTCTGATTCCAGTTAAAAAGTTCAGACTAAAGATATCACAATCTGCAAGAAAAGAAAGAACATGGATGGTATAAATGAAAAACAATAACAAATCAGATGCAGCAATGAAATTAGTGTGCAAGCAATGAATGCTGGATAACCAGCTAAAGCAAGATGACAGAAACATGAGTTGAAAACTGATAAAAATCATTAATACAGTATTAAATTGGAAAGAAAAATGCTGGACTAATTCATTTGATCTGTTGTCATCTTATTAATCCTACTCTTGTTGCATATAAAAATTAGACAGCTTCCACAACAGCAGATATAAAGTGAAGTTTTCAATTTAGTTTATTACAAACGCATATAATCCTGCATTAATGTCTTAGACTATCAGTCTGTTACAGTTTTGACTGTTACAGTCGGATGGACAAAGTTAACTACTATACATACACCATTTCTGAGTAACGCTGAAAGGCATCCAACATTTGTAACTCAGTTACAGTTGGTTTATGTTGGAACACAGCAGTGATACAGGAGAGATTCGTATACTCCATTAGTGTTCTGAGTAAGCTGGTTTTAGGAACAGCTGTACTAAATACCCCATTATAATCTGACTAGTGCCATACAACTCCCATGTACGTGCTACTAGACATAATCGGCAAGCAACCGAAAAATCTGTAGTAGAGTTGCATATTCTTTTTCAGGAATGTCTATGTTAGGGAAATACTCTACCTCAATCCTTCTACAGAAAAACATTAAAAAAGAAAGTTTAATTTTAAACAGTAAATTTTGAATTGTGTTTAGTTTTCCATGTCCTACTTTAAATCTTACTTATTCCCTCTGTTTCAAATACGGTAAGTTATAAAAAGATGAGAGAAGTAGTAAAAACTATTTTGATTTCTTTCATTGGACTATAAGCTTCACAGAAGGATTGTCTCTTTTTAGCATCTGGGAAGCATTTACTGCACAGTAGAACATTATCAGAACTCAGAACAGAGTATTTGTCCTGATCAGAAATTATTCTCATTAAGTTTTCTGCAGCAATGACTTAAAGTGTCATTCAAATTGTCTACATTTATGATACTGCCTAAATTGGCATCTAACTACTCATTTTGAACAAACATTACAAAGTAACCTCCACAAAATCATATTTAAGCCGTAATTTTGACAGAAAATGACAGCTGGCTATTACAGAACAGATTATTTTTTTTCCCTTTAAAAGAAAAGCAGTTGTCCAGGAAAGTGCATGGAGAGGCAAATCCCTGTATGAATGCAAGGTAAGCTTATAAAAGCATGAAGGACATTTTAGGGGACCACAGAACATCTATCATTAGGAACACTTTAGCTTACCTGCTTGCCTTAAATCCTTTCAGTTTCTGTACAAAGAATGATTCAAGAACTTCTGCACATTGGTAAAAAGGGGAGTCACTTGGATTGTAGTAACGACAGTTATCAAAAATTTTGGTCATATCTGCCACAAACTCTGTGACCTTTTTGTAGTAACGTTTCAGTATTCTTTCTTCCATGGTGGCAAGGTCTTTAAAGAAACCAAAGATTATTAAAATGAGACATTTTCATCCTCAACAGAAGTTCACATTGTCAAGACTGCGTGACACAAAGCCTGTCTAGGTTAGTTGCTTTTCCAGGAATGCTGGTTGTGATGTGGTGACACCACTAGGTCTCCTTCAGAATAAACACTTTTGCATGAGTATGTTATGTGCAGCTAAATTAAAATGCAACTATCAAAATGACCTTGGAAGCTATTTGCTTTTTCTGAAGAAATTAAGAAAGACAGAAGAAAGAAAAAAAAAAAGGTCAGACAATCTGGATGCAGTTACTTACACTTCATTTTCTTTACAGCGCTTACTGAGACCAAGAATCATATCTGCACATGTAACAGCTATCTAAACCTTCCGATTATTTTTTATTTGAATTCATGACTTGCTTTGAATGAATTACCAGTCTTCATGGGCATATGCACATTACCACATGGCACAGATGAAAGCAAAATGCTAGTGTTCTCATTCTTACTGACTAGACACATTAATGAGACCAGAATGGTGAAGTAGGCAGTAATTGTCCTATTTTAATGCAAATGTAAATTAAGAAGAGGGAGAGGAACAAGAACTGCTAATTATAAATATAGCTGTCTCAATGTATAGTGGCACTTTTAGCTGAAAAAACAACAACCCACGCTTGCAAAATGCCCTTAAAGTGCTTACTCTGAAATGCCAGTAATGCCAGAATGTTTGAAAACAAATATAGACGGGCCTGGATTACCTAGTGTATTTTACATATACATATTTACTTCTATACTTACAAGTGTATTTTCCTGCTAGTTAAGTCAGAAAGGGCTAAATGTACCTTTATTTCATTCAATCATCATATGCTTCATTATATTATCATTTGAGCTTTCCTTGTAAACTTTAACCCCACGGAATAGGAGTTGTTTAGCAATTTCATAACAGCACAATCCAAAACTTTGGAACAGAAAAGGACACGAATTCTAAGCAAAATATTATTTTCAGTCAACATACTACCATTTGCCAAGGTATTAAATTTAACTTTCCTTTTTCTAGGATCAGTAAGGAGTAGGTGGGAAAGCTCAAATGATACACTAGCTCTCATTTAGACATATGAAAAGGTATCGGTTCAATAACTGGAAAGAAAGGAACAACATTTAGCAACGCCATTTCTTGCAGGAGGTAGATTTTCTTCAGAGGTTTCACATTCAAGTGTTGATCCACCTTATTCCCAGCTAATGGGTAAGGTCTAATAAGATCAGAGTAAAACATTGTAAAGCTACAGCCATCTCCTCTTCCACTTTCCCTCACATACGCAAGATTTGAAACAGTTCTTGTCCATATAACTTTAAAGACAAATTACATAGAATACAAAATTTAGTACACTATCAAATCAGATGAAGACAATTTTAAACTCCATCTTCAGTTGCACGTCACACTTAACTGTATTAGCACCACTTCCTCCTCAAACTCTGGAGTACATAGCCCACACTTTGTAGGACAAACTGATGCAGAAAAGGACAGGAAAAAACCAAGCAGAGCAAGACATAGCAAAATTGTCCTCTTGAAATGAAGTAATTTAAAAAACAAGAATTCTATCCTACTGCTGCACTGAATTTCACATTTTATATGTTAGACCAACACTGTTTAGGGTTAAGGAGTCAGCCAAAAGTAGATATATTAAGCCTCATGAACTTCTAAATACCTCAATGAGAAATCACATTGTTTTGGTTTGCCTGACTGCAAAAACTGTGTATTCTGCAAAACATATCTTTAAGATCCCTGGATGGAAATGGTCAGCAGCTAATGAAGTTGATATTCAAAAACCCAAACCCACTCACTCACGCTATTGCTTAGAAACACTTACCCATTGGTTCTTTAATAACACCATAATAATCTGGTGCATCATTGGGGTCTACTGGTTCTAGGAATGGCCATGCCATCTTGTGAGCCTGTCAGGAAAACAAGATATAATTACAAAAAAATTAAGTTAAATTAGCACTATTTAGTAGCCAAACATTTTCATTATCTCTCTCTCTCTGTTGGGGCCTAGAGTTGAATTTAAGAACAAAGTGCAGTGTAGGTGGCTAGTTCTCATCTGATGACTGTCTAAAGCCTTAAGCCCCAATGTCAATGACTGAGTAATTGCTCTTCAAACCAGGAAACGATGTGAGGTTCAGACACAACAAGATACTGTGCTAAACAGGCTGCACAGAAAAGTGTGTAATGAATTTACTGAGAGTGCTTGACACTTCACACCTAGAAATGGGCTGCTCTTTTCACTTTCAAGTACTCTAAAATTAATTTGTTTTCATAAATGTCTGTAAAAATGTAAAAGAACGCAAAATATTACCCTTTTAGGATTTAGGTTACCATACAAATATTTTATCAAAGTTCTTGAAAATTCTTTACAGTTAGAGCAGAAAAGGCCTATTTCGGAGTGACAGATAAACCAGAAATATACTGTAACAGACTGATATGATTCTTTTAATCAGGATGCTGTCATTTACATGCTGGTAATGACTTTCTGCAAGAACACTATTGAAATTAGTAACTCTGAGATTAAAGTACAGAAGCGTAGATCAGAAATCATAAAAAACTCATCTGACAACAGAATCTTGCATCTTCTACACCCTGTTCAGTTAGGCTAATACTCTGCCTTTTGGTATTTTAAGTAAACCTGCTTCTTTAAAAGCCTTCCACTGAAGAGATTGTTTAGTTTCACTAAATCAGAAGCACTGATACACAAATTACTAAAAATACCCTCAGCACAATAATGCCAATCAAGTTTGGAGCTGACAAAGCGGCATTTCTCACCAACAACAAAAAAAAAAAGCGTTGCTATTTCCTTTTAAAAAAAAGTCTCAAACAAATGGAAGAGAAATCAAAACCTACTCCAAGACTCACTAGGTATGTCCTATACAGTAAAAAAAGTGCTCCACTTTGCTGTAATCCTTATTCTCACCTGTAAGGAACGTAGTACTCTTCTTAAACCTTCATAATCTTTATCAGTTAGTGGACTGAGCACAGTCATGGCATCTTCTGTGGACTGACATTGTGGACATACATATTCATCAATGAGATCTGCCTCACTTTGTAAAATGCCAACACAGCGCCCGTGATACCAGTTCTGACATCGGTCGCAGCCAATGTAAAATCTGCAAGATCCAAAAAAAGTGTTAGTGACTTGATCTATTTAATTTACAGGTTACATTTAAATACATAAACTTGTAATCCCCTGCACACAAGCAGATACTTGGCATGATTAAATACAAGTGTAACATGATATTTCAGACTGACAAATTCTAATTACACTATTCAATCTGCTTTTGTATTTACAAACAGGTTAAATCACAGACCATTTCAAAATTAGTTCCTAAATTTTATACTAGCCACTTTCAAGCAATCAAGATTTCAAAAATCATTCTTCTGCTCTAGAGTTGAAAGGAACAGCGTAATGCCAGAAGTCTCACCCAACCAGTATTCCAAACCAATTCAAGATACATTTTGCACAAACTGGACTACAACTAGGGCTCTTGTTTCACTCCGTACAAACATTTTTCATATAGAAGCTTCAGTCTTGTAGTTGAATACAGAAGGGGTACTCTATGACACAAAGCCTTACAGTAAAAGATACCAACCATATACTCCCCCCCTAGGATTATGCTTTCTATCCAGATCAGACTAAAGCACAAATAAAAATCCACTAAATACTACATTTGTCTTTTAGTCTTTCTAACCATCCCTTGTTAAAAGAAAAAAATATCAATCCCAGTTTAAAGTACATGGTGCATTGGGTTTTTTTTTTTAAAACAAATAAACAAGCAAACAAACCCAACACATTTTGACCACCCTGAAAACGTCACTTTTCCTGAACATTTACTGTATAGAAACATTTTGGAGAGGAAGACAATTACTGAAAAGCAATTTGTATTACGACTGAATACAACATATGCAGAATAACTTCTTTTTTCTTTGCATGGAACAGGTAACCACAGTCAGAGCAGTTTGCTACCTAAACATTAAATAAGAGGTTCTTATCAGAACTCACTGTGACTCATCATAAGGTGTTCTGCAGATACAGTACAATTCCTCACTGCTGCCCTCTTGTGCCCGTTTACAATCATTACAGATGTACACATCCATTTTCTTAGCCTCCTTTTCTGTGATGCCAACACATTCTCCATGATACCAGTTAGTACAAAGATCACAGCCAATATAGAACCTAAAAGTATTCACAATGAAAATGACAATGTAATTGTCATTTCAAATGGCATGGCACTTTTCCCTGCATTTCTCTCTGATGCAATTTCTTGCTGGCCTACTTTCTTCAATTTTCTGTCTCAGTTTCCCCGCTTCCTAACATTCTGTCCTTACAAGCTAACATCTCATGCTGCAGCTATACTGTCAGTAAGGTCACTTGGGTCAATTTTAAATTGACAGTTCATTAAAATGCATCAATATGTAACCAGACTTTGACAAAACTGGGCTAAAAATGTATGTCTCCAATGTGTGTGTGGAAAAACTGTAAAAGGCACAAAAAGACAAGGCCAAAGAAAAAGATTTACATTTTCAAAACTGCAGCTCAAAAGCCACTGAAACATTTCCTTAAGATTTGAAAATGTAGGTCTCAGTTAATTTAAAAACCAAAAGCAAAGCGCAAACACCAACTAGGAGTTACAAGTATACTACAAAGAACATGCATACCAGCCATGTGTAGAATACATATTGGTATAACATGATACAAAAGAAAATGGGGTCAGGACATGGTTGTCATAATTTTTTT